CCTTTCAATGTCCGTGACGAAGTTCGGAATTTTCCAAAAAAATAAGGCCTAGCCATTGCAATTAAATTTCCTCGCCCAATGAAATCCTGAGCGATTTGTCATCCCGTAGCAGTAATTACTACCAGCCGATTAGAGATCGTCTAGATAATAATATGACTTTCGACTTTCTCCGTAAAGTGGTTCCGAGCCCCAACCGCGACCCTCCACGGCGTTCCATTAGATGCTATCTAGAGAGTAAGAGGTTCTTATCGTTGGCACCGTGGCAATGATTGGCACTCCACGGTCGGACGTAAATTACATAGAGGAGCTACACGCGTGCCGAAACCAGAAAGTCTCGCCCTTTCACGGTGCCAATCAAAGCCCCGACCACTAAAAAAAGCTCTTCCGAAGCAGACTAGCGTCGTGTCTATTGCCATTCTTTAGATTAACTTTTCCCTCGGCGGATAATTTTGCAACGTTAACGGAAGGATCTCTAAGTCTCGTCTAGCGTCTGGGGGTACAGGCACTGTTCTTTCACAGAATAATAATTTCACGTTCTCACTTCTCATTGGACTTAAAACGAGATTAGGTTATCGCGTTATATTACTCGAGTCTGTCCGGAAACCCACGAACGACGAAATCTGCCTCCCTTTTCTGTCTCAAACGCCCTCTTTCGCCTCCTTATGTATATATCTCTATATATTTATATACTATATAGGTCTATGCAGCTTGATCACACCTCGGGTATCAGCTGACATCGTTATCACGCCAGCGGCAGTGCGATACTCCGAGATCCAGGCGCGACCGGTCACGCCCAGCCTCTCATCCAACATTTTGGATACCGATATCTACCAATTGGGAATCGAACTAAATCTCGAAGCTACCCTAGGAAACCTCATCTAGAGACTACGAACATAATCGGACCTGTACATCGACGCATCGCCGTCGAAATTAAATTAGTAAACGTGGCTTTGTCGAAGTTGGACCAAATTTCACTCGTCTCGATATCCAGATAAAGAAAGATACGTAAAATGTTTCAAATTCTTCTGAATCGGTTTGCATTTTTTAATTTCGCCCCGTGCAATGAACTTCGAGCGATGAGACAGTTTTTCTTTTTTCTTTCTATGTAACAGATAGAATATCGACATGGTCGCGGACAACTTCGACAAAGTCAAAATTAACGGTGGGGTCTCGAAACATGGTGCGATTCGATATAACATTAGGTTCTTCGTTCGTTTGACTTGTAAAGATGTGCATTCAAAATATTCAACAATATGTTCTTTGTATTGTATATATATATAATATATATGTATGTATATATGTATATGTATATGTTTATAGTATTATCAGGTAATGTCCGTAGAGTATTCCACGCGCATGAGGAATTAGTCACAGATCAGTGGACGTGCTTGATAGACCTGATTGGCTGAAAATAGGTTTCAATGCAACAAAGAGTACTTAGATATGGTAATTATTAAACCTTCTGAGAAGCAGTAGTTTAACGATTAATCCGTAAAATTGATAATACTTCATTCACAATCTTGTAGAAATTAAGAAATTAATAATTTATGAATATTTGAACTTATTGTGATGCGAGTTTCCATATAAATAATGTAAACGTCATTCTTAAACAATAATACACTGAAACGCTCGTTAGAGCATTGGAACGCATCAGCCAGTCAACGATGATTAATTAGAGATAATAACGAGTTTATGCATTAACGTATTGCAGTATACTTAGCTCTGACTAGCTAAATTGCGGGGAGTATTTTTGCATTACGTCTAAATTATTAACAATATACGTCAATTTCGGCTCCTTGGCAATAATTATTAAATTCAATGACCAATGTTCGCAGCCTAATCAGAATTACAAGATTCACCCTTGAAGCCGAAATGAAGTAATTAATTTATTATTAAATTATTAAGATAACTAATTAAATTAGCTCGATGGAAGTCCTTATTAAGAAAAGAAAAACTCAGCTTTCGGAAACTATGAATCCAACATCTTCAGCTTCGCATCGGAGCAATTGTGGCCAACATTCGGAAGATAAATTGAATATCATTCGAGTTCCCATATTTCCTGGAAGATCATTGAGTCAGGATGTCACCGGCCCCTAATATTCGGAGCCGATCAGGAAACAACGAACATATACAAACTATGGATAAAAAACGATCGATCGCGCTCAACTCGAAGACCATGGACACGACAGGAAGTGTTCCTCGTGCGCGTGCATACGCAACCCTTTCGCTACTGCACAACAGCTTAAAATGTAGGATTGAAACGTGAGTCGGGATTAAAAAACTTTCTCGAGATCGATGTCCCCGTCGCGTTGAAATCTCCCTGATAAGACGTGGATCGAGAATCTCAAGGGGAGCGATAAATCGGTGGCGCGGATATGCAAGCGACGCGGGAGATCGTGGCCGCCATCTTGGATTCCTGGGTCGAAGGAATGTCTGTTAAGGTGATACGAAAGGCGTCGAGAGATTAAATCGACGTCGATAAATCAAAATTTCTCTATACTCTTTTCAACGGATGAAATTTAACTCAATTTTGCATGTTCAAGTAGTAAGCCGCGTTACCGACATTTATATTTATGACGACGTCTGTTACCTTCTAAATTAACAATTACACAAAATGAAATATTCCATAGGTCATTTCAGTGGAATAATCATAAAAAGATCAAAGTAAAATTGAAGAAATCCCTTGGATTCATGATTCTCACTACTCTAATCGACCAATAACGCCATCTCTCACCTTTAGCTGCAACTAAATGTTCACATCGAAACAACCCATCATTCTCTTATAATCGTTCATTAAGTATTTTCCATATTTTCCCATCAGACTCTGTAATATTCGATTTTCATAGTATCCTGCATTGTTCGAGTTAGATCCTAAAGGTTCTCATTTGCGACATTAAGCCTTCAAAAAACGTCAAACGGCAATGATATGCGCGGATAACGCCACGTTGATTCTAGTCCTTGATATATAAACAAGTTTTTGTACAAAAAAGGAATTTGCCGAGTTTTAAGACCTACAGTAGGACCTCCTTATTCACGTGTTAAGATTTAAGACGAATCGGTACACCCAACTCGGAGAAAACTATCATGAACGATTAGACCCCTCAGACGCCAATTTCATATCACCTTAAATGTCTCGAGAATGTGAATCTCTTTGGAACGCGTCTTCAGGGTCTGGAAGATTTTCTATAAGGATTCAATAAGGGGTGCGCCGTTGATCCTGCCAACGGGAATCGATCCAAACTCATTGGGGACCTCAGGAATCGCATACGGTACCGACGAAGGTGCACACGGCCGACAACACTGTCATTAAACACTAAATAGACAAGCACAGCGAGAAATTCGTGAACCACGGAGGAAACGATCCGTCGAGAATACACTGACAGTATACAAACGAAGTAGTCCCCGTCGCGGCCCCCGCGACCCTTTACCCTAGAGAATTTATACAAATCGTGTAAAGTAATTAAGTGGTACTCGAGGTAAGACGTAGGTAAACGTTACGGTAAGCTTAACCTTACGGGACATTACACGTTATGCTAGGTCAGGGAAAGACTAGATTTAGGCAAGATCGAATTCGTCCTGCGGATCCTCTCGCTCTTTCTCTCTCTCTCACTCTCACACGTTCTCCGATAAGCGCCGACCTCTCTCTCGCTCGCACTCGCACGGCGGACCTAGACTAGCGGTAACGCAAATACCCTACGCGAGTCGAAAAAGAAACTTAATCTTCGCCTTATCTAATTGTAATGGTCGCTCCTCCCAACTCGTGTCTAGAGACGCCTGTCTCTTGATTCCGCATTTCTCGGCGCACCTCCCTCTCCCCGCCAATTGTTGTGTACAACCAGGATGGTGGATATTGCCGCGATTATTTGCTGGGTCCGAACGGTGGCCAATTAGTGTCCCAACTTTCGGAGAATTGCAGAGCTGCTCGACCGCGAGCTCGCCGGTCGGAGAAATGATACGATCAGGGGTTATATGAATTATGTTAAGGGAGGGAAGCACCCTCGAGCGGGTTAACGAGGACCAAGGAAGGGACGTGGACACCTGCTGTAACGTCATCGCGGGTCCTTTGTGCTGGTGATAACAACGATTCTCAACAATGATAAGGGGAAGTGATCCGGGGACCATCGGAGTTTGCAACCTCCTGGGTGGGACGACGGGAAGAAAAAATGATCCCCTTTTATCGTTCATCCCCTCATTCATCAACTGACCCCTCAGGTGGCACTTTCGCCACTCCTTAACGAGTATCGAGGAAGATACACGAAGCAAGAAAGACTGACACTCGAGGAACATCCATGACAGTCTGAAACGCCTATCCGGCATTTCCATGCCCCCAGAGTTATCTCTAATCTCGAAGAAGCGCTAACGAGTCCACGAAGGTGTCAACCTCCTATCCGGGGTCTTTTGTGCTCGCAACAACAACGATCGTCTCAACAGTGACAAGGAAAAGCGACTGGGACCCGACCGGATCTAGCGATCCCCGTGACGTCGCGTCAAACAGAAAATAAGCTCCTTCCACGGCCAACGAATTCGAAGAAATAACTGCAGACACCTCTCGAACCCCAGATACTCGAGAAACACCCGCGGCAGTCGAATATGAGCCACTTCACCCCCGCGATATTCATGCATGCACAGAGATAATGCACTCTCAGAAGCCCACAACAGGTCCAGGAAGATCCGAGCCCTCTTCTCCTTCCTTCCTCGCAACAACAACGCTCGTAATAACAACGCTAATGACAAACAATAAACCAATGGTAGAAGTTCCCTGGCACGTCCGGCAATCGCGCGTTCCGGGTGTCCAGAGTCCTGGTCCCGGGGTGTCCAGAATCCTGACTCCTGGGTTTTCAAAATCCTGGCCCCTGGGTGTCCAGGACTCCGATGGGTGCATCTGCAATTCCCGAAAGAAACCACCGACTGGGGAAACGCTTCCTCGGCCTCGGCCTCGTCCTGCACGCCTCTGCGTTACGTATTGCGCCTGATCAGGGTCCTGTCGCCTGGCGAACCGTTCAATCGTCCCAGGTCGGAAAGCTGTCCTGGGCCACGAAGAGGGCGTTCTGGTGGGAAGCTTGCGACGAACCGGACCCGCCGATCGTCGGGGCTGTCGGCGTGCCGCCGAAATTCGTGCTGCCGAACACTGGCTGCCCGAACGCATCCAACTGCTGGCCCTCGTAGATGCTGCGGTCCTGCGAGGGGTACGGGACTTGAGATTTTGGATGCTCGGTCACGGTGAGCTCGATGTTCCCGGCCGTGCCGGCGCCAGCGCCGTCCACGTCCTCGCTCGAGCCCTTCTCCAGGCTGCTGTGCTTGATGCCGTAGTAGAAGTACATGATGAACCCTGGAGACCACAAGGAATCGATCAGCGAAATGGCAGAATGTCGATTGAAGTACTAATTATCGGTGCGCGGCTGCTACATCGATTAACGATAATACAGAATATAGCGACGTGAAAGTGGAGCCAAAAAAGTCTCGTTTATGTAGCTTTTCTTCTAACTGGGTGTACCGAAGCATTCCAAATTTTACAATGTGAATACGGAGGCTACTGAAGATCCTGACACCATGAAATATCAATTTCTTAAAGATTTGTTTGTAGACATTTTTAACATTTGTTGTAAGAAATGAAATTTCATGGGGGTGAAGACCTTTCTTATAGCCTCCGTATTCACGTTGTAAAGTTTAAAACGATTCATCACACCCAGTACCGAGAAAAGTTTCATGAACGATTGACCCTCGACTAACGCGTAAGTACTTTGAAGGCATTTTTGTTCGATATGACTGAGAATGCGTAAACAACGGAGGGCTTATAAGCATTGAAATCACTCACCAAGGGTCATCCACACTGTGAACCTGACCAGGGTCAAGATGCTCAACTTGAAGATGAGATAGATGTTCACCGTAACAGCGATCGCCGGTACAAATGGCAGGCCCGGAGTCATGAACATCATGGTGTTTCTGTGAAGTGTATTCCCATAAACGTAAGAATTAGGAACGCAAGGAAATGACTTTCAACCCTATCGATACCTTCTACTATTGATTATTGTTACAACCGAAGAATCTCACCTGTTCTGAGGTTTCCTACTGATAACGAGTAGCACTCCGATTATAGCAAACAGGAAGAGGAAGAGGAGTATCGTTGTGAACGTGCCCATGTTACCTGTTGCAACAAAAGCAATAAAAAATAAATTCTTGATTATCATAACGAACATGAATGTACTCCGTCGGGTCACACGCCCATCCAGAGGACCAAAGGAGCCTGGATATTTTTCGGTACTCACCCATCCCACAAACGATAATTAGATCGAAGATCAGGATTAAAATGTACAAGATCCCGACCATTTTCATGACGAAACGACCGGACGCTTCCGTTGCTGGGCCCCTGTCCACCCATGGGAAAATCGCTGGACACAGATACTGTGCTGCCTGGAATAGAATGAAAGATACTTCTATAACATCCTAATTAAAAAATAATGATTTAATCAGAATTTTTTTTAATCAAGTGCATGGAAGTTAGCTAACAGATCCATCGATAGACAGCCAACCTGTAACCTGCGCTGAAGGTAATTTAACGGGGGTCCGATGATCGGGGTGTTTCCTGGATACTGATGAGTACTGCCGCAGGTGGAAGCAGCTGCAGCTGCATGCACGCTTCCATAAAATTTGTTCTCCGTTCTGTCGCTAACCAGGTACTGGTCGTCCTTGCCTAATCCTACTTCATCATCTTCGGCGCCATAGGTGTCGTCGGATTCCGGAGACGAACTGTTGCACCTCCTCACGCGTCTAACCTGTAAAATGTGAATATACTCCCTTCATTACCCATGATTACTTTTTTAACACTGAATTTAAACAGGGCGAAATTATGAATCTGAGCTACTTCAAGCGCGCTTTTTTATCCCTGGCACATTTTACCTGCGGCACCCCACAAGGTTGATAAATATCAAGATTCCCTCAAAAAAAGTCACGATTATAATCACAATTTTTTTACACATCTTAATTACTCGAATAAACTCATTTGAAGGATTAGGTTAACTCAATAATACTTAAAGACTATCATAATTTGTTTCCGCAATTCGAGAACTCACAACAAACATTACAAAGGATTTAAATCGGCTCAACTCTGACCACACAGGATGAAAACCCACCATGATCCTTTGACCACTGGTCGAAGACGCCATATCCGATTGGGTTGATTGAACACTGTTTAAGGCCGTGGTCAATTGATCTGGTCTCAATTCCTTGCCATATGTCACTTGACCATTGCCTTGGGTTTCCTTGGTTGGTGATCTGCAGGGCGTTCTCAGACTCTGGGGAAGCAGCTCCACCAGATTAGTAGAGTGTGGCTGATATCTGAGTATCAGTACACACGTAGACACCAAAGTGTAAGCCAGAAGGGTCCCTGAGAGACAAATACACAGTTATTCATTGTTATCAAAACAAAAGACCTGAATAAAAAAAAATGTTAAAGTCCTTTCGATTAGGCTTTACCGATGGACATCATCTCCACGAGCACCTCCAGCTGGATCAGAAGAGCAGCGAAAGCTGCGCACAAACCGGAAGTCAATGTTGCCAGAGCGGGCGTCCCGGTGGCAGGCCACACTTGACTTAACGTCCTGATAAAAAGAAATGCAACTTAGTTTTTTAATTCTTATCAAAGAGAAATAACTGCATAAATACTGAAAATTATGCTGACGCTTGGAAAATGGTTAAAAAATGCGGAATCTTACCGGAATATCAGCCCGTCCTGGGCCATGGCGTAGACTATTCTCGGCATGGGGAACATGCTGCCAAACATGGAGACTGTCAACCCTGCCAAAGCCCCGACAGCCACGATATACTTGCACTTGTATGCCCCGACCTGGCCGAACATCTCCACCAGCGCGGAATCCTGGTCCACCTCCTCATAGGGCACTGAAACACGAGTCACTTTTTTAAATCCCAGGAAACGAGATCTCGCCTCTTCTAGTCTATACTTTTTACCGATCTCTCTCGACAAAGGCAAAAGAAGGAATAAAGTAAACGAAGGTGGAGGAAAAAGAAAAAAGTACGAGACTGTTATCAAGCGCCGTTCTCAGGGGTCATATCTGGGTCTGATATTTCGCTTGAGATAATTCGGCTCATTTTGAGCTATCGAGCCAGCACTAATGATGGGACTCGGTGCGATCTCTCGTTAGAGGTAGAGTGTCCAGAGTGCTTTTTCATTTACCGATCAACGTCAGCACCATACTGCTGGTAACGTACGCGACGAGGATGATTACCAGGGAGGAGACTATGGCCAAGGGGATGCTTTTCTTCGGGTTTGTCGCCTCCTCGCCGGTCGTCGCGATTATGTCGAAGCCGATGAAAGCGTAGAAACAAGTCGCGGCACCGGTGAACACCTGAAAAGCGACGAGAGATATCACCTGAAATGGTCTGATCATCGTGAGATTCCCTCCATTCAAGAAGATCTGGAGGTGGTTTCTAAAATGGATTTAATACGCAAAGGAAATTTGGTTTATTGAACAAAATCATTTGATTGGCTGCATTTGGTTGATTTCAGAAAAGGCTTCGATTGTCCTGCTAATTTTCGGAAAATATTTTAGCCTATAATCAAAATATTTCGGACATCGTACCGGGTTACTCTCATACTTGAGGTGATCGACCAAATATTTACTTAGCCATATAATGACCATTTTTTATGGTTGAACTAATAAAAATGTTATCGATTTAACTAAATATTTTTCTTTTCGTCAATCAGACTTTAAAGACAAAAAATTTAAGGGTGAATATTTCTTTCCCTAACTTTTTAACAATGAAAAATTGAAGAAACGAGAAATCTTGTTGGGTGGGATTTTCGAAAATGGGAATTGAAGAATTATAGACTGTAAGCTAGAATAATTTCTGGCGTTGATTCATTAGAGATAATTGGACGAAGAAAATGAATCCGGAAGTGCATAATCTTCGTCGTTGCGGTGGAGTTTAGTTTTAAAAAATTATAATGGAAAATAATAACGAGTACGCACGAGGCGAATAATTTCGTTACGGGACTAATGTACTTCCGCTCGGTAAGCGATTTTCAAGTAAAACAATTCCATCACGAGAAGTAGATTATTTCCTTCCTGAGCAACGTGGAATATGTCGTTCTTTCACAGAACGCTGAGAAACAGCGTTTAATTTAGGGAACATTAAGCGACGGTGTTTCGTGCAGGAAATGTCGAGCTGTGGAATTTTATTAGAGCGTTTCAAAGTTACGGCATTCCTGCAGGGCCCTAGGGAAAACGACATTATATCCGGGATCCATGGGGATAAGATAAAAATTAATACGCTCACCAGACCCCCAAAATATCTTACGTACATACGCATTCTTAAACATCGTCCATATTACCATATTTTTAAATTTTATCAAAAAATGAATGCACAATCCCTTTCATGTGAAGTTGCATTCCATATTTCTACCATCCTGTAGTAATATTTATATCTTAAAAAATTCTCAAATATCGTTCATATTACCACGTCTTAAAATTGATGAAAAAGAATGGACACATAATTCCTTTCATGCCGCAAAGAGTGAAATTGCACTCGATATTTTTAACATCTTGTCGCAACATTTATTTCTTTAAACGTACCGACGTTCTCTTTTTCTTCTTTATTTAGATCTTTCTTCTTTAAATGGGACTACCTGTTGTGTTTACGCTTTCATATTTTGATTCCATGTGCATATTTTAATTTTTCAGCACATCTTTCGCAACGAGTGCTCCACGAGCGACGGAATATTTTCCAGCGCGGCATGAATTCTGTTTTCTTTATTTCTTCCTGTCGTCCTTTTTTTTTTCTTTTCGTAGGGGTACCGCAACATTCGAGGTTTGAGTCGGGAATGAAAATGACAGAAACGGCAAAAATTATTATTCTAGGGCGGAATCGGTCGTCGATGTTGCGCTGGAGAGTTGGAAAAAAAAAGTGGATAGATATTGAATCCACAGGGCCACTCCAGAATTTTGCACCGAATTATTAGAAATGAAGGACCGACTGATCAAATATAATCGACATTGCCGCCAGAGCGTAGAAACACTCGATTTTTCGTTCATCAAGTTCATATCTATTTTCATCCGTAATTGAGATTTTCACAACCTTTCAATGTTTAAAAATAAAAACTGTAATAAACTCAGGAAACGTGTATCGAAAGATCTATTCAGGTACGGTGTGCTAAATTTTGCAATATATTCATAAGTGTTAAAATATTAAATAATGCACATGCTGTTTAATTGTGCAAACTACTTCGGAAACTGTCTTGTAAAATCTCACAAAATCCGAGGCTTGCTCATACTTTACATTTATTTTATACTAATCTGAATGATATTAAATTCGTAATTTTAATACGACTTGGTACATTGAAATCCTATGAAATTTTATGACAATTTCAATGTGAATTGAGAATTGTATTATAATATAATACATGTCAGATGAGAAATAAGAATGTGGTAATTCTTGAAAAAATTGCTATAACTTTAAAAACTCAAATTCCCTTTTACAAGAGTAATAGAATGACGAATGTCCACGAGGTAAGTCCTACATGTCGAATTGTCTTTTTCAAAAAACAATTATAAATTTAACGTTATATTAAAATTTAATAACTTTCGAAGGGGCGCGTTTCGACCTCTTTGATATAGAAATTGTGTGCAGAAATACGGTAATTAAGCACGAGTAAATATCCAAAACCTACTAATCATCCCGGGTAAATTCAGTTTATGAGTAAACATCCAAAATCCGCGAACTATCCGAGACGAGTTGAGTATCAAGGTATGAGTAATCGATTTATTATTCAGAACCGCGGAAACAACGAATCGTTTCATTAATCGTTGTTCCCCATATTTCTCATCCAATTCCCGAATCCAAATCGGCAATGGGAGCATAAATATAGTAATACATCGAAAGGAAAATAAAGGGTCATATTATCGTGGGAATACAATGCGTCAGCCGACATCATTGTTACCATCAAACCCAATGCATTTCCGCCGGTAGGAAAATTTGGGTACCGAGAGAGTGTTCGCGTTAATAAATAGATAGGGTAATATCTGCGAATTAACCGAGACAATTACAATTTTCGTTGGACGCCGGGGACGCGCGATCAATTCGCCAGGTCGAAAAAATAAAAACTCGGAACTCAATCCCGGCAAATCGGATCATGGAGCGAACTCTCTTCTCCATTCTTTCCTGGGAACGGTTCCAAATAAAAAGCTCAAAATTAAACGAGCGAGCGAAACCGCCGACATTTTGCCTCGACGAAGTCGCCGGAGTTTGCCAAACGGCTCTGAAATTTTGGTGTAATTTAATGTAACTATGCAAATCATTATCTATGTCTTTTTCTCAATCATGGTACCGTCAAAGAGGTCGATCGTTTATGAGACTTTTTTCCGAACGAGGTATACCGAATCGTTTCAGACTTTGCAACGTTAATATGGAAGGTATAAAGAAGGTCCTGACACCCATGAAATTAAAACTTGTTTGATATTAGTTTATAGATATTTTGAAAATTTTTTATAAGAAAATGAAATGTTAATGTCGTACCTACGGATAACGGTAGGACAGAAAATTGTCAATTCCTTGTATTATCCCAAATATTGTTTCGATATACCCCGGAGTCCTTTTCACATGGTGGTTGCATCCCACACAATAAAAAAAGACTTCCTAATTTATGAGAAAACAAATTTCGAGAGAGAGTTTCGCAACCGGGTCAAAGTTAGTAAAAATGTGTTAAAAAGCACGTGTAAAAGTAGATCATAAGAAACCCAGGTGTAACTTCACCCAACTCCAAGTACCTCCTTTCCGGGGTAGAAAGATATAAATAACGTCAGAGATTTCCTATAAATAATAGCAAATGATTTATCTTTAGACCGTTTGGGTAGCCGTTCGAAAATGCGTGAGAAATCCGAGGGCATTAAATTGTTAAATTGGCCCATTTCGACAGGTTCAATCAGGGGAAAGGGTCTCGTTCCCCCGCAAAGAGGGTCGACGGATGGAAAAGTGAAAACGGAAGATTTGCCAGGCACAATCGTGAGCACGATTCACCGAGGGGTGCGAACTCGCCCTGCGAATGATAGGATAGGGGAGAATTAGGGCGAGCGGACTAAAATAGGACCGCCCACCTCCCGTGGCACGATTTTCTCCATTTCCTCGTTTTTCTCGATTTTCGCTGCCGTACAGGCCCCTTTAAAAATTCCCACCCGACGATTCACCCTGCTAAATTGCGAGCGAGTTAAACAATGGAGCAGAAGCCGAAGGACCGACCGACTCGCCATTGTCGTACAACTCGCGAAATTCCCAGATTAATAGGATTAAATTCACCCCGCGGTAATTCGCCCGAGGGGTGAGAAACTATTTTCAATTCCGCAACGAGGGCGTTAACTTTTCCGGCCACGGAGGTGTCAATGAGGGAATTAATCTACCGGAAAGGGGGATGACGAGAAATACTATTTCGCGTACACGAGAGGGTGATTCTGGAGAGAATTGTCTCGCAAATCCCTACAACGTCAGAGGGAACTCGAGCGCGCACGGTTCGAGCTTTCCCCGGGCTTTTCACCCCGTCTTTTCCGTTTCTGTTAACATTTCCGAGACTTCACCAGAACCCGTGAATAAATATAATGCCGGATAATGTAAAGGAAGTAAAAAAAAATACCAATTATAACTGAACTGTCTATTTTTAAATATATAGAAATGGTATGTACCCGGCAATTCTGTACACATTTGAGTGCGCACGAGTATTAAATTTGTATGCAAGAAAAACTATGATTGCGTCTTGATCCTACCTTCAAAATGTTATATATTAAGCAATTAAGGTACCAAATTAAATCCATGTGAAATATATGAAATAAAAGATCAGCGATATTAACCGGGAAGCGAGAGGTGAATCTCCTTTTCTTCTTAGAATTTCCTTTTAGTGAACATATCGTTTCTTGATCTTGACGAGATATTCTAGTAATTTGTCTTTTTTATTTCTCAACGAAAAATGAAAGACAAATAGCTGGAGTAGTCCCAGCTTGTTGAAAAACTGACCTCTGACGATCGCGGCGAACGCTTCGGTAGCCGACGAAAAACCACCCTCGAATGTCCGGGCGAAAGGAGGGCGGAGAAAATTAGTGCGCCTCGTATCTCAGGGAAAGAGCATTCCTTTGGTCCCTGGAACGATGGGGGAGAATTGGGGCGAGCCGCCCCCACGATTCCCGCCCCCGGGTCTCCGCATCCCCTTAACCTTCCCAGGGTGGCGCGTCGCGGCGAGTCCCGCGCGAAAGGGGTGCGCGACCCTTTCGTTTCGGCTGGGGCGAAGGTCGGCTCGTTGGGGGTTTCGCTTTTGTGGATTCGAGGAAGAACGTCGTCTCTTTTTCACCCCAAGCTCGACCGTGACCCGCTCGGAGAGCTCGCGAAAAGCACGCCCGCCTTTCATAGGGCTCCTTTTTCAATTACCGCGAGTACGTACCCCTCGCCGCCGCTCTTAATGGGTTACACCACTTTGACCCACCCAAAAATTACGGTTTTTCAAGAATTATTTCTTAAGAATTAAAACGTTTTTATCCAAATTAAAGTGCAGTAAGGTATTATACTACTATTAAACAATAATCCTTCGAAACACTTGAAATGTAAATTTCAGAGAAATAAAATTAAAATCAATTCCTTGATCACAGGAACCATCAATATTCTGCCGCAGTCTTGATTGAGAATCCTTCCAAGAGCCCGTTTTAAACGATGCCATGTAATTTCCAAATCACTTGAAAAAAAATTCCTCCGCATCTGAAATGCAAATCGTCAGAGGTTTCTTTCATAATTATTCATTTTCTAAGTTATTAAAAAATCCACCGTATCCGAAGTGAAAATCTGCAGAGGCCTCGGGCACCTAATTACTTTACTTCGATTTCTTTATAATTATTGTATGGAAATGACAGGTGGAGTATGCCATTTGGTACAATACCCAATATAATTCGACACAGCTGTCAATATAAAAACGAACATCGGCAACGTAGGCATTTAGAAAAATCTTCTTTATTGACGTTGATCAAGTTCCTCGACGTGTTTCACTTCACCTTAAGCCTTTCTCGTCGCGACGCTCTTCTGCCGTTTCGGAGCAGAGCAGAGCTCCAAAGAGCAACAAGTTTGCCATTGTTTCACAGCCGAAAGCGAGGCAGACGGAAAATCTTTGGACCATTCTCTTGTCGAGGAGAGGCATCGCTTTCCGACACACCCCTAAGACCGGATTTTCCCTATTTCTCTTTGTCGCCAATCGCGGTGGCGGAAGTATTGTCGAAATTTATGAAAGCTGGATGGGAGACGCGCGCCTTGCTCGATGTTTCTTGTAATATCACCTTTTTTCCTTCCCTTCTAGTTTTTCCTTTTCCCCTTTGCTTTCCTTGTCACTTCCAGCTTGGATAAGGGCTGCTCTAAATCTTAGCCCCGAGAGACGCCTCTTTTTTCCTGGGTGTACTTTTCCCATCGCCGAGGGCTCTTTTACATTTCTAATCACGATACGCGCGAGGGTGGAGGCGCCCCTGATCAATTTCCTAACCGGGGGCTGCAACCCCCGACTTCTCCCCTTTGTACTTTCTTTACGCTTAACTTCCTCCTTTGCCTTGACTTTTTTCCCTTAATAAATACATTTCCCTTCCTTGACAATTATTCCTTTAGGAGACCCCGCCGGAAGGCACGAATCTCGCGCTTCACTTTTCCGTCCGGCCTAATGCAATGGTCGGGAGTTTTTAAATAATATACAATTTACACAGAGATAATTTTAAATTATTCAAATTATAAATAAGACGAAATCCCTCGCAGTATCGAATATTGGAAGGTGCGATTCAACTCGGTAATTGCAAGCCTCCCGTCCGCCTGTTTTATTAATCATTTTTAACCCGGAGCCGTTATTCTTCACTAATAAACATTCAATGAAATGTATTAAATGACGCGTGAAAATAACTGGAGAGACGGTGCAATTTGCTATTTCTTTGGCATTCGTTCCTTATCATATTTTTCCTCCCTCTTTGCGTTACGTCAGACACAGGCGAGTCGAAATTCCGCCCCGAGAAACGCCCCTTCTTCTGATCTTGACATCATCCAGGGCTCCTTTATATCTCTAACTGAGCCACGCACCAAGAATGGAATTGTCTGCCATCAATTCTCGTGCCAACAGCTGAAATCCCAACTTTCCCTCTCTTTGTTGTCATTCCGATTAATCGTTTCCGCGCTTAAAGACGTTCTCCCCCAAAATAGCGTCGCTTCATGAATCAATTCCAGACTATACATGTCATTAAGTTAAATAAACAACAGCCCGTTAATATTCTCTACTTGCAAGTTAATATTTTATTATTTAAGAGAAAGAAGGTTTATTTGTTCCTTCTTGCAAAATGCCCTTACGGACGTATTTATTAATGGGGACGATTTATTCCCAATCTATTAGGACGGACTATAAAACTTCGTTCATGACAAAATAAAACTGAAATTATTTTTCCCGTCGAAAATGTCCGACGAAATGGAGATAACTCTCTTGCAAACGGATTTATATATGCTCCTAGTTTTTATACAGGTGTTGTATCGAATATCGAGACGAATTTAACGACTCAACTTAAGTACTTTTAGGTCCGCGAGATAACATCCTGCTGGTCAAAGTGCTGTAATAAACACGGCACCAATAATCGTAAAACGCGATAAAATGGTTTGTTGACGAACGAAGAAAAGGACGGAATAAAAGAGAGATCTCTCCTCTAGAGTCGTTTTTTAGAGTCTATGAGTTGGCACGTGACATGGATAGTTGCGAAGAGCACAAGAGACACTGAAGTAATTAAACACCTTTCCTTTAATTATATTACTCTATCATTTGCTCGGGAAATTAATTAAAATTCTCCGAACCCTCTTCATCTAGGGCATTTACTTATCCGACCACCGGCTTATCCAATCTGAATCTCATTCAATTTTCAGCATTTTTAAAATTCCTTCCCAAAGCAGGAAACAGAATGGCGGACACCGCATCGACCCCTCTAATTAAATAAACGAGAGATAAGAATCGTTTGCCTTTTGTGTTCACTTTTAATTAATCCCGCGTTTGTTCTGCGAAAATATGAATGATCTTCCAGACAAAAGAGATTAGTTATATTTTACATTATTAAAGCGTTTAACAAGTGTCCAAATGCATAGTGTCCCGTGTATATGGAAAATCAGCAAGGAAGCTAATTATTATTTAGCTAGGATGCAACCTATCATATAGGGCCAAAATTAGAAAATCATATTTTTCTTTATAGAGCCATACTATCTAAGATGGCCGAACATAGGAAGATTCAACAAAATTACGTTGGCTGCACAATTAAATATTAAATGGACCGTAGTTAGACGCTAATGGAGAAAGCCTAGATAAAATTGTTTCCAGTGTCAAATTAAATCCTAACTAGGTCTTAGCTTGGCGTTAATCAGGAAAAATTGTCTTGAACGCAGGACCAAGTCCTATCAAGGGTCTACCTCGTCTATAAGAACTCCTAAAATAGAAGTCTTAGAGTCTAAAGCGTCTACCTAGAATTTATTAAAAATTGAATTGTTATAATAATTTAGAGTCCCAGCCAGTCTCGACATAGAAAAATGATATTCCAATGCAGGACAGGGGGCGGTAGGACGGCATCCTAGCTAGATCCTAGGAAACATCCTTGCAGATCTCCTCCACGGAAAGTGTGATTAACAGTGGAAAGGTGAAAAATGCAGGGAAAAGAAGAGGTTGATAATAAATCCGGAAGCCTTACCCCGCTCCATCCGTAAGGCATGAAGCCATTATGCTCGGTCCAATTCTTCGAGTCGACATAGAACATACCAGCCGCCATGACAAAGACCCACACAGCAAGGTTGACGGCATTTAGCACATTGTTGAAGACGAGGGACTTCTTCACCCCGGCGGCCATCAGCAGCATCATCAAGATGGTGATAACGAACGCCAGGAAGTCCGGGGGTCGTCCTGGAACAGGATAAAACCACTTCAGAGAGACCTTTTCGATGCGATAAAACGCCTGATATCTCGCAGGACCTCCCTCGGGATGAGTCGGAAGGACACGCGAGGCGGACATCCAGGATCGAGGGGAAGGAAGTTGCGAGGGAAAGAAAAAAGGAAAAAAAGCCTTCGAGACTTCTTTTACACGTGTTGGGGAACCTGGAGGGCTTGGAATGCGTTCTGACACGCGAAAGAAAATTGGACGTAATTCCCTAGGAGAGGTGTATACTATTACGAGTCCTTCAATGTTTTCCAACCTTCCCGTCCGAGTCCTTTGGGGGGCTCTTGGAGAATCTAGGGCAAGGGCAACTTGGCGGCCCCTGGAAATTTATCAACTTGCTGTATTACTTTTCACAATTATCTCGCATTCCGTGAAATACCCCGTTCTGACGAGTGGAAATTGGAATAACAATTTTCACTCGAAAAAGTGGTCCTTCGGTTAACAAGAGTGATTTACGCGATTCGCTGAGAAAATTGCGACGTATAAAAATCAAAGACTAACATATATCGTTTAGGGTAATGTAAAAAGAGTCTTCCTTTCACTATGCTAAACGATACATGGAATTATTACATATGCATGACCCTGATATCTAGGTACCGCATTTTTTTCACGAGCAACGTATATTCCCAAGAAATTGACTAAAAATTACTACCGAAGATTTCCACATTTTCTATATTTTCCCACGGTATCCTTATATAAATGCCTGAGTCTCATTCAGGTATAAAATAATATCCCGAAGTTAATTAAATTCCGTGATAAAGAGGCGAAGGGAAAATATGTATCCGTGAAGGTAAACTTTTAAGTCTGCTTTCGCCAATGAGCAACCATAATTTTGTTATCGTCTAATTAGATAACCCCCTGTGCTAAAAGTTTTCCAAAAGTTTCTAAAAATGGACTAAGATCAGGGAGTACTGATATAAAGTTGGTTAAAAAAAAAAAAGGAGAAGAAATGTATCAAGTTCCGAAAACAAGGAAATCCTTTTCCCAGCCACGTCCCAGATGACGAATGGCAGGATATCGATTTATCGCAGTGTCAAAGGTAAATCGGTTCGGCGGGAGGGCGACCAAAATAAAAGTCGGGCTACGTGGCCGGGAATAAACTTGCTTGCAACTCGGATCCCAATTCGGCTTGATCAGCTGGAATGAAACTGTTCCGTAATTGGAACCCGGTAGGTACGTGTCGGCCAACGTAAAGAGTCGACTACGTCAGCGTCCCCGAGACGGCCATTGTTGCACTAATGGAGAATCATTTCATTTCCGGGAGGATTTAGAAGGCTAAAGGAAGTGTCTCGGACGGATCAGGACGCCGCCGGACATTCCAGGACCCGAGGGAAGACAAGGTTGCCTCCTGATTCCCGAATGGCCTCGAAGGCCGAAATTAACCTCGTGTTAAGGGGGGAAACGGGACAAACATCCTGCGACAGGATTCGGCTCCTTTAAGTAGCTCGTTTAGCAAGGATTGACCTAAAATCGACCTCCCTCGACCTGTTCGAGGATAATGTTAGAGTTCATCCTGAATTCACTTACTCGGTCTATTTGAAAAGAGGCTTTCACGGTATCCCAGAGTTAGTTTAGAACGAAGGATATTTATCGCGGAGGAAGAATTCACCGATATTCCCGTGACCTTTCTCGAAAATAGGTAAGCTGATTTGAAATTTTATTCAACCGAGTAGAATACCCCAGCTGATTTGGTTATACTCTATGTACTTTACCATGGAACGAGGAAACTAATTTTGAACGAAATCCTTCGGCTCAAAGGATACCAACAACGAATGTGTAAAAAGTAGTCAAAACCTGATTTCTAATGTGTCCTTTGATTAAAATCTGAATTCTTCTTTCATCAAATAAATCGTGCCATCGGTTCTTAAATAATCCCTGCCCCTCTCTAAAACCACCTTATCGTTTCACTTTTTACCTGCACAATCCCCCATTGTCAGACACCTAACAAATATTAACCTTAAATTCTCGTTGACCCATGAAATAAAACATCCCCGGCGCAAAACTGCCCAATACCTCTCCATTCTCTTTGAAGCCCACGTTAATTGAAACGCAATTGACAACCTCCCACCCCCCTTAAACCTCGCTTTAAAAGTACTCGTAATTACTCTCGACGGTCTCTCCTTTCAAAGTGCTAAACGATAAATGTGGCGATCGATCAGGCGCAACCTCGATCGTTCGGTATTGCGGTACCGTGTAGTTCATTATCGGAAAAAATCGAAAACCCCGGGAGCCCGAAGAGCCGAAAAATCTTCGGATCGTTGGAGAGGGTCCGAGGGGGAAGAAGCGCGTTGGCCGGCGCCCAAGCGGGCCAGGGGCCCGCGTGTGGCGCGGGAATTACTCTTCCGAAGATGACGTCGACCTCACCGCGGCTGGTGCAGGCGGGCAGGTTCGGCTCGGCTCGGCTCAACTCGGATCGATGAGGTCCACAGGTGCCGGACCAGGACTCGGCCGCGCACGCGCCCTTCTGCCACCCTTCCAGTGCCCGCATCTCCGCCGCCCCCCTCCCCCGCTCCTCCCCCCCCCCGCAAGGGAGACGCCAGCACCCCGCACATACGGGCGCACGTGTCGGCGTGTACGCGCGACCAGTAGCGGCGAGAAGTGGTACCAAAATATTCGTCTATGCCCGCAGACAAAGAACAGACGGTCGTAACAAGAAATGAAGAATCTTGGTAGTAGAGTATCCTGCCAACTACGTACTAGGTGATTCATTTAACTTGAGCCATCGAAATCTCTCGGGAAATACGCATCGTACGAAAAGAAATTGCCTAGGACGTAAATTATGGGGCACACGATGAGGAGCTATCGGTTTGACTGTAGATGGCGCTCTCGTCGGCGAAAGTGAGGTTAGGTGTGTACAGACACTCACACCCTGAGGGCGGCTCGCTGGAGCATAATTCACTCGCCCTTCGTGTGCGCACCTACTCCATGCAGAGACGCGTAAACCCACCGAGGCGGTCGCATAATGTGGCCGCGTGTGTGTCGCGTGACGTCGACGCGCAGGCACACCGGAGCCCCCGCATTATGCGGTCGTACGTTACGTCATTAGACGCGCGCGCGTGAGCATGACGTAGTAGCGGGTGGAGTAGCGGCCGCCGTAGCGCCCGCAGAGTACCGCCTGGTGCATGTGTGTATAGTACTAAGTATAAAGCCGTAAGATTGTATACCTTTGTATATGTTACACGCATGCATTCTTCGGTATAATATATGAAAACGATGATATATCTCAATAATTATAGTCGTACCGTTTAAAACAAAAAAGTTGCACGGCTTTTCTTTTCAGGTGTTGCGACTTTTCGGCGAGTAGTGTACGGAGTATCCTGAACGTAGACGTGAAAAATTTGGAAGAGGAATGAAAGGGACTGATACGCTAATTGTAAGAGAAAACTCTCATATGGATGTGCTTGATTTATCTTCCTTTTTTGAGTTTATATTTCTCATTCGCTTTCTTTAAAAGACGAAAGAATTGAAAAATTCGACGGAATGTGCCTTTATTCGAATCGGGTCTCGCATCACCTCAAGCGGCGTCTTTTCCTACCCCCGAAGTGTCGCCGCGCACTTCACTCGGCTCGCCGCGGCTCGGCCTCGGCCGGTAACGCAGAGGCCGCGCTTTCCACCGTATCGGCCCTGAACCTGGACGAGAACCGGCGCCTTCCCTTTGGCGCACTCACGCGACCTGCGCGCGGCCCCTCGAGTGCACCCCGAGCAAGAGGCTATGAAGATTCGCGATAGGACGGCGTCTACTGGAAACTGTATTCACTCGGCTCAAGTCCCCCGCGAAATGCGGACTGGCGAAATTGCGGAACAAAAGGGTTGCGTTTCTCCTAGATAGGCGACGTATATTCCCGCGTACTCTTTATATCCCAGGTAATGACGAGCCGACGATGAACGGCGGATTTAATTAATCAACGGATTAACGATCGCCCTGCTCGTAAATATCGCGACGCGAGGAAATTAATTACAATGCGGCGTTTAATTAAATAGAGTTAACGAACGATTTAGATAGGCTCGTATCCGGATAATAACTCGATGTGCTCGAGATGACCTCCCAACTGCCTTTTAAAGGCGCGGCGAGGAAGCCCTTTAAAAATGAAATGGAGTTAAGCGATCTTCTTTCATCTGGAAGTGGCGGACATCAAGATACTCCCGGTAAGTGTGGGACATTTTCACGAGACTCCTGGCTAGCGATCGAGCCATCCCGAGGGATCTTTAAACGGAGAATATCGTTGGAAAGTGCTGCTGGGAATTAAGATTAATTTAACTGTTTCAGCCACGGCGATAGAATCCGATTGGAAGTAATGGCACTTCGGTCATCGGGCACCCTCGCGACTTTAACATTAATTACCCGTTTGCCCTGAGATGAAATCACTATCCAGAGAAGAAAATTCTTGCGTCTTGACTGGCTATCAGCAAATGACAATCGAATGAAATTAAATAAAATTACAAATACCACTCAATTATCGCAAACTCAGCTTGTTATCGTTACATTTCCTGTGCATAAACGTGTTAGAAAGAAAAATTTCTTTTTTTCACTTCGGAGTGAAAGACATTGAAATAATTCATGATATTCTTGAAACAAACTAGAGTTTAAGTGAATCATCAGGGTATCAACTTCAAGCGATATTTATTCCCCGTTAATAATTTTTTATATCAAGTACTAGGTTGTTGAGTTCAACGAAACATTCTATTCAAAATGCAGGGTAATCTTCATTAATCTTCTGAATAATCGAGACTAGTTTAGTGCATAAAATTCTTTTCACCAACTCATTTCCACTTGGTACTAACTCGCCGTCATTTGTGTGGCAACCCCGATGATTCTTAATATTTATATTTCAGCAAATAATTAATTTCGCCTAGAAAGTAATATTTTCCCTCGGGGTATTTGCTCATTTGAAGCTAGTTTTTGTTAAAAATACCGTTCTTAACATAAAAGCGATTTAATTCGTGGCCACGAGCGGGGTTAATTACGCATACGCCACATTTCTGATAACGCTCACCTGGGTTAATAAATCCCGCGACACGAGTGGATACGAGTTTCGTTTTACCCGGTTAAGGGAAGACCGTCTACGAGGTTGATTAAAATTAGCCAATCCGAGCAGGTTAACTCGAAACGAAGTAACACCAGAAGAACCAGCCGTCCTCTACGGTCTGTTAAATATTTAAAGGCAATTAGTCCTTATCCAGTGGGATGCTTTTAAACGGGAAGCGGCTCGGCCGAGTTCAATGCCACGTGCATTAAAGATTCACGGGAGACACTTGTCGGCTTGATTAAACAGGGCCAGGAAAAATTCCGGGGAAATGTCAAAAAAGAAAGGTCCACTTTGGCCCCGGAAATGCCTTTATAAAGTCCTCTTCAGCTCCCCCCACGGTAAAAATGTTTATCATATTCATATTGTACGTCTCGCCGGCGCAATAATTAAAACCGTTCGGAGCGGTTTAACGAAAGCCAGGAATTCCTACCTTCGTGTCGGAATTTATCCTCTTATCAAACGGGCCTGGTAATTATCGGGTTAAACACGTTCCGCGGTTTCCGCTTTGCAGGGTGGAATTAACCCCGAAGTTTGAGCGAGTAGCTACCCTATCTTTAGCGACGCTTCGATTAGGGCTCTATTCAAACAAGGGAGAATCGCTCGTCCCCGTCGATTCCATCAATGGGCCCGATGTAACCTAATCTGATTTAGATTTCCTGCGGCACTTCCGGAACTTCGGTTAGTTCCGAACTTCGATTAAATGACTCGGTGACACCCACAATCGATGACGTACGAGAAGCTTATCTAACGACTCGAATGATCAATCCCACGGTTTCTGAAACTGCGGCCCATCAAATAATAACTCGAACAACGGACGTACCTGCCGAGAAATTATGATAATTACAATAACCCATTAATTATAACGGGAATAACTACGGCGAAACTATTGCAATTATGCTGACGCGTTAATTGTAACGCGTGCACTAAGTAGAGTGAATTTTAGTTACTCTCTTCGGTACTACCGTATTTCAATTTCACGTATTTTTATAATTACTGCTTTCTTTGATATTAAATTCATGCTTCCATATTTTCTGGCCCGAGGGCCGAAACGTTTATAAATATATCATCTTCTCCCTTTTTTTTACAGGACGGGGGATTTAAAAATTCTAACGTACGGGGAGTTTTTGCAACAAGTAAACGCGACGAGTCTATGAGAAACGTTCTCTGCAGAAAATTTTGATGGAGCAGTAAAGTAGGAACACCTCGTTACTCCGAGCACTGTACAGGAAGATTGACCAGAGTTAGGTATCTGTCGTTCTACTTTCGTTTCGCCATGAAATTTATGAGAAGTATTTCGAACAAACGCGTCGAAACATTTCTGAGGGCAAAAACGCGTACTAGGGAGAATCTTGTTACGCCTTAACGGCGTAGAAATGAAACTTCGCGTCGAATTAGCGAATTTTCCCTTCCCTCGTCAGGAGGAATTTATAACGCGGATTTAAGGGTAACTAGATTTTCCTCCCCTTCAAAACTATGTAAGAAACGAGTCGGGCGAGGAAGTTTTCCCCTGAGAAGTCGATCTGGATATTCCTCAGTCCGTGGGAATTCCCTGAATACGTTTCCCGGGTCTCCGAGGTACCAGAGGGTCCTTTCAGCTTCCGTTAAGCAGCCGAACATCCCCAACTCCCTCCTGGACCATTCGTTCATTGCTTCCCGAGTCCTGCCAAATGATCAGGACGTCTCTGGACTCCCTCGGGATGACCGTCCACCCATCGAATATCCTCCGGACTGGTAGATCCTGACAATTCGGGGGCTCTGCCATTTTGAAAATCCGATTATTGCTCCAGAAACGTATAGAAATGGCCTTGGCTCCCTTCCTCGGAAATCCGTTTATTATTCTGGAAGTGTATAAAACCGAGTCCTGCAAAAAAATCTCCTGAGTGCATTTCCAAGTACCCCTGACGTCCTCCTAATTATTCATCTTCTGGCTTTCCAGACTCCACCCTGCGATCGGAATACTTCTCGGCCCCTCTCGAAAATGAATCCTCGTCCTTTCATTAAATACAAATTGGAGGAATTCCGAGACGGTATCGTGAATAGTCTCCGAAAGTGAGTAACAAAATGGAAATCGATTCCTGGGTCTATTCGCGTCCCACTGAAAGCCCTTCGCAAATGACAGAAACAAGGTAGACACTCTTTCGAGGGTTACTTCCTTTTCATCGCTCGCCCACACCTCGCGATCGATCATATATATTTCTATCTGCGAATATGTCGCACCCGCGTCATTTTTATCACCTCCTCCTATATTTCCCGTAAAATCCTGGGTGGAAACCATATCTTACGAAATAAATCCTGCATTGCGACTCCTCAAACTATGGCACATAAATCTTTCAGTGACCATCCTCCCCAGGTAGATGGTCCATTGCAAATGATTATTTATTTGTCATAAATGTATTTAACAAAACTGCAAGAAACAAAAGTTGTGCATATACGATAACCACATCGTTTAGTATAATGTAGGAAAACTCTGATGACATCTCAATAATTACAAGTATCTTCTAAACCAACATTGAAGCACTATCTCTACATGATCTTAAACGATATGGTTTCGTAATTTCTTATCATTTTCTGTAAAGGGAGCAAACATGAGCAAGTCCCTTTCAGGGTGTTCTTTTAGTTTATCAGTCTCCCACGAATCGAGAAATATCGATACTTAAGAGGATGTCAAAGTGGCATCCGGAAGCTCAATCGTTCATAAAATTTTTCTACGAACTGGGTGTCTCAAATCGTTTCATACTTTAAAACGTGAATGTGGAGGCCCTAGGTAGGTCTTGAAACTCGCGAAATTTCATTTTTGTAAACTATTTTTAAAATACCTATAAACAAATTTGAAGAGAATTGAAATTTCATGAGTTTCAGGACCTTCCTTATATGCTCCCTATTCACGTTGTAAAGTTTCAAACTATTCGGTAAATCGAGGTGGGAGAAAAGTTTTATAAACAAAATCTCTTCGATGCCACTTTCACATCACCTTAAATAGGGGACTTTCTCTATTATTTCCAATGCGTTAAACCTGGATCCTGAAAATTTCTTCATACGCATCATATTGATACCGTCTTCGGTCATTTCTTCGGAAATTTACAACCGTCAGGTTGGATTGAAAGAATTGCGATATCGCTGGTATGTCCTGCAGAGACTTACCAAAAATGGTTCCCACGCTGTTCCCTATCGCATCAGACATGGCTCCGTTCGCCAAGGCATCCAAACAAGCGCTCAACGCACAGGCACATGCACTAGTACCTATCAGGTACTCCAGCACCATGTTCCAACCAATTATGAATGCTATTAACTCGCCTACAGTCACGTAACTGTACATGTAAGCACTGCCCGTTGTATGAGGCACTCGAACACCAAACTCGGCATAGCAAGCTCCTGAAAAAAAAAGGAAACGGAATCGTTACTTGGCTTCTCTTTTTATTTCACCAATACTTTCCTAATCCTTCGCTGAGAGGAACATTTTCTTTCTCTTCAATGAAATTATTTCTCTGAATGGAGTTTAAAAAACTGTAGCATAACATCAAAGAAATGTACCCTTCAACAATGCTGAATGGGAGTCCGATGCATTGCATCGATCGAGTACTTCGTATCTTAAAATGATAAAGTAAGAAATCAAAACTACACGTTTCATTCCTATAACTCTATTCAAAGAAATAATTTCCTCGAAAGAAAAAAAAAAGAAATTTATTTTTTTTTATTTATATTCCACTGTTATTTGTTGCCATTAAAAATGTTAAGGTTTTAAAAGAAATTCCCTAGTTAAGCAGTGGAGTATGTTGATATCTCTCAAGAATTTTATACTTTTAATAGCTTTTTCTGGATTTTCTAGAGTTTTCGAAGTGAACGTTTTTATCCAATTTTAATAAATATGAAATAAGTATACGCGGTCATTTTTTCTAATTACGATGTCTCGACGGCTTGCATAAGACCTTAAAAGGCCATTTCGCAGAGATGACATTTCTCACGGCCACGAAACTCGGAAAGTTTCGGCAATTTGCATAACTTGTTAAACAGTCTCTGTGAAAAATGAGAATCTTAAAAATATATTGGTGCTTCGGGAAATGTATTTCGTCCCTAGCTTGGCTTTAAACAATGTTTAACGTCTGCGAAAAGCATCGTGTATGAAAGACCTTTTTTAGGAAGCTCTCTAATATGCCGGTAATGCAGCCAAAGGATTTAAAATCGCACATCTTACGTGGAATATGATATCGGAAAGTTTATTACGAACTGACCCTTGAAGCGAACCCACGTACGAGACTTTAGTATCCGCAGTGATAAAGTCGACTTTATGCTGCCCGTAAAGTTGAGCATTTTCCGCGATAATTATTTCTACCATCGCTTTACCGCCAACCTCATAATCCATTAAAAGTGCCCACTTATGTACGTCATTGAAAGCTGTACAGTAATATCCGGAGAAGTATTCTTAATCAACGTCATTTTAAAGACCACAAAACATAATCCCACGGCTCTTTTATCGAGAGAAAGTGCTCCTTGGACTTATTCCGAAAATCATAATTCTTAATATACCAGAGAAATATATTTCTTTATAATAAATGCTTCCTTTATGCGATATTCTTGAAGGTTCCTTTCTTTTATATCGGGTAAGGGAAATAATGTCAAGCTCGATAAGGTTCTACGACTCAATTCCTGTAAAATTGATGAAAATATCAAAAACACATGTTAAGGCTCACAGTGTACCAGCTGTCGTTAACCTTGGTGCACCCATTAACATGCAACTGATGAAAGAAGTTTCGCGGTTATGATAAAAAAAGAACAGTCACCGGATAAGACCGGCGGACACGCGAAATTATACTTAACCCTCGTACTTTCGCAATTATATAACGCGACTCCAAGTTGCAAGGTACGATCTTACGTTTATCGTTTACGCTCGTCAAGATGAAGAAACCTTTGACCGGCACATTTGACGAAACGAAGGAACCTCAAAATAAACAAACGTAATTCCCTAATTTTTTTTTTAGCCGAGAAATGCACATTCAAAATCGAAATCCGCAAATCGGAATTAAGGAACGCTCGATTCTCGCTGTTGTTTCGATAAACATGAAATAAAGGAATCAAACAGATCTTCGATTGAACTAGATAGAAAAGGAAACTTACTGATGTAAAATTTGTCCAATTACAAACTTCGATCTCAGGTTTATCGGGTATGCTTGACAAAATGGAGAAACGTTCGATCGCTACATTTTCTCTGGCAAAAAATTCGCATTTTCTTAGCAAGGATGAACCGAGGAATTGAATTTTAAAAGGATAAAAAAATGCAACCTCGACATTATACCGCAGGAAAATAATATCGAAGGAAATGGGAAATCCTTGGCTTAAGGAGGTCTCTCATGACAACCAATCGCGCGTTGCATTTCCTGAAAACGGAGACCCTCGACGAGAATGAAATCCCCGTTGTTCCGATTCGCAAGAGCAGACGTCTCGGTTTACTCGAAATGAGCAATTTCCAAGAAACCTCGTTATTTTTACTCGATATCAATGGGCACGTTTCCCGACTGCGACATCCCTTTAATTAATAGAAAATTTCCCTCCTCTGCTCTCTACAAAAGGAAAAGAAAAATCTAAAAATCAACGTCAACTTCTTACACAATTATTCATCAATGCCAGGTTTCCAGGTCATTTCACAAGATACTAATGAATAATTGCACAACCTAAGATGCTCTGAATATTAAGAGAAAAAAACAACATAAAATTACAACAACATTAAATTAGATCGTTCCAAAAATTCTGTCGTTTTCTGTAGGCAGAAAAGTAACGTTGGCTCATTGAATGAAATTATTTAACCGGCTGCAATTGATTGATTTCATAAAACGTTCAGGTTGAGTGAACCGAATTTTACTTTACTTGACATTCGCTCCAACCAACCAAAGTGTTTAGTCAACTCGTTTTGTTAATTTTACAAACACGTTATCGTTTCATTAGAATACTTCTTTGCGCTTGGCATCCCTTTTTACAATTAATAAAAATTTTCTTGTCTTGACCAAATACATTTCTGTGTGTGGTATCTTTTTCTTCCGTCTTTTTTTATTTACATTACGAACAGATTGACTTATTGATTACTGGTTACTGTGTGAGATTACAATATTAACTCAGTACCCTGCTTGCAATGATAGTTCAAAAGTTACGTATGAAAACAATGTAAACATTGGAATGACCTAATAGGAAGGTTGTCTCGGTTATCGGTGAGTTGATAACGGATATGAGGACGATAATGGCGATACTGACCAGAAAATATGGAGGCGATGGCGGCGATAATAAAAGAGACCACGACGCCAGGCCCCGCGACGCTCCTTGCCACCATTCCTGCGACCAGGTACATCCCCGTCCCCACACAGGAGCCTACCCCTAGGGACGTCAGGTCCAGAGTCGTCAGGCACTTCTGCAAGGTAGTACAACGAGGTAAGCATTAAATTTCCCAGTACACCTGACGGTGTGATTCGACTTGGGAATTGGCTCGCTCCGTGCGGAAAATTAACCGCGAAGAGGATTTGCTCGCCAGGGACTATCGAATTCAAAGGGATGGATTTTCCGACGAGAAATAAGGAAGCACCTACGAGGCGCGAATACAAAGCCCGAAAAATGTCGAGGGAAAGGACAATGTAGATAAACCAGCATTTTTTAATCTCCAGCTTTATTGTCCTATTTTTCATTTTTCTTTTCTTTTCTTCTTTGACACAAATCCTGGCGAGAGAATTGTCGAGAAAAAGATTTTTTGCTGTATCATTTATTGTAGAAATTAATTATTATTTAATTTCATTTTTATTTAATTATTGTCTGTCTTTTCCTTGGAGTTTTGAAATGGAATTATGCCCTTGGGTCGTTTTAAAAAGTAAATGAAAAGTTTTGAGGTGGCTTAATAATTTATTACTAATACTGATTTTTAGTTTCAGATATTCGGAGAGATATTGACAACGGTTTGTAAATAAATCCTTCGTGATAGATTTTCATAGGATTTACTCAGTATAGTATTTTGTATGGAGAACATATTTGGAATGCATCTGACATTAAATCAAGTGAACCAAATGCACAAAGCTTAAGAAAAGATATTTCATGTCGGGAAAACTTTTATGCGGGAAGATACGATAAAACTCATTTAGCAGTACGTTCACGTAGAGACGAGATCGTCCACGTCGTACATTTCTCTTTGTACCGAATCGGATTTCACCCAATCTTTGTCCTCAAACGCGAATCGTATTAAATAACAAAATTTAATCAGACATTTTACGGTCCCAAATCTATCAACGCGATGTTTAAATTTATCCTTCGAGTTGACAAGAATTTCGGAAGGATTTCGACGCGTCTAGAAGCACATCCGACAGTGCACGTAAATTATAAAACGCGTTTTAAAAATTATAACCGAGGTTGAAAGTAAATAATAGAGAATGGCGTACAACGATAAGTCTATTAATACGGTTTATAATCTAAATACGAGAAATAAAAATCGTGGCTCGTCGTGTCAGGAACATGACTCCGAAAATAATTAATTTCCAGGTTCGCTCGCGTGCAAGTGACATTTTCAAAAACGATAAAACTGGAATAAATTTAACCGAATACTGGTATTAAATTTTGCGCGTGGTCCAGGTACGCGATGGGTCAATAGTCGATTATTCATTGCGATCGATAGGGTCCTGAGACGAGATGGTCCACTCTAGCAGATCCTATCAAGTTCGATTATTGCCAATCGCAACACATAGACGCCTCTACGACCAACACAATACACTCAGGGTGTGGCGTAGCAACAAATTATTAACATCGCTCGCTATAGGCCGCAGGATATAATGGGGAATCCTTGACATAAATATCCGACAATCGGTGTCTCAACGTTATAAGTGATTTCGCCAATATGCGTTCCACGATTCTCATTTCATGATCTGTAATTCATTCCATTCGCCATAAAGAACTGCAACGTTACAGTATACACGTAAAGATCAAAGTTGTGTATATCTAATAACCAGACATATTGTTTAGCATTATAAACCATATCTCGGTAACTACAACTACCCTGAGCCTCTTTTTACTCGGTGAATGAGAGCGTGAAAAAAAGGAAATGTACAAAAAGAAAAGACTCATTAAAATTCACGTGAGAAAAAAGCTTTTGCAACCGTGTAATAATAAATGAAAGGTATTAAAAGAACCACGGAAAGGTAAATCACGTGGAAATAGCGACGGGTGAAAAGAGATACGTTTTTTTTTTAAACCGAAATTAAATCACCATCTCTTTGTAGCGTCCTGAACAATCTGCGTTAGTGCCTGATTTTCAATTTTTAGGTGTTGATCGACGTTACGATCGACGTTACGATTACTCACCTGTAATTTCTGTTTCGATTCGCCCGGTAGATCCGATTCGGGACCCGCCTTGGAGTGGTCGCCCTGCAGACTCTCCACATTTTTCGTGCGTATGAACTTGGAGAATAATTCCAACCCCTTCTCTCTGTCCATCAGGTCCAGCTTCATGTTGCTGCAACGAAAGAGAGAACGCCTCGTAATACCCCATTACGGCGAAGCGTACGTTTGCCCGCGGCTTATTAAATTTATTTAACATGCGTACACACGAGAAATTACCCCAAACGGGGGAACGAGGTATTGCGACATGCACGGATTATTCCTTCATGAAAAACGAGTTTTCTCGAAAAATATGACTTCCATGATACATCTCTTAACGCGCTCGTGTACGAATCCAATAAAAATGGACATAATAGTAGAACGTTAATAATACCAGAGAGATGAGTGTTTGTGGACATAAATATAAACCGAATCCATTTCGTGGCAAATATGCTGAAACTATCTTGCTATACTAATAAAACGTTGCTAACAAATATTTCTGCCTTTTAAATTTCGCGACTAATACCGCGAAATTGAAATTTATCTCTGTAACGTATTTATACACTTTTACGTAATTGTTAAAAAGGGCGACTTATCGTGGAAGGGTTTTTCTTTTGTACAGACGGCGAGGCTCAACTTTTGTATTAAATTAAATAAAAAAAATAGTACGATGAAATACCCTTGGAAAAATACGCATTGATTGTTTTTCAATTACTTGTCATTCCCTGGCACACGCTTTATGAATTCTCATATTTTTTTCAGCGGCTCGAATCAGGAAATCTTTCGTGACTCGACTGAGCACAAAGAGTGCTTATTTTCCTTTTCGAGCAGAAATTTTCATTCGCTACATTTTTCTCCTGACATGAGAAAGATGAATGCCCGGAGTATCTTCTCTTCTAATGGACACGGAAAAGGAATTTTCCAGGCGTGCCGGCAATAATAAAGTCTGCAACACGTCTCATTGTTTTCATCGCTGAAGTTTCACTCCTCTTTCCTTGTGAAAGAAAATATCTGACATAAAAAGAAATGAATCGCATAAGCACAGAAATTATGGCCCTCCTACGTACATAGATATATTTTTCCTAACTACCTGTAATAATTGTCGTCGAGGATTATCTAATTATTCGTTTTAATTTACATGGCATTTACGGTAGTCCGTCAGGTACGTGTTTAATGAAACGTGGTGAAAATTTAAGGAATTCGGTATTTTTTTTCGGCACAAAGTAGCACTCTTTTGACCGTTTGTGGGAATTTCTTCCGTCCGGTGGAAACGCGCACGCGAAAAGCGTAATGAGATGCAACTAATTATCCGTAATGTCGCCGTCTCGTAGAAACTTGGCAAAAGCCATAATAACGTACCGGCTGTTGGCGGCTTTGTCCACGACTTCAAATTTCGCCCCAACAAAGGTCTTCTAATGCACGACGGCATAAAGCCAACGGCGAACAACATTGTTAAAGCTTAAAAGCACGCTAAAGCTCACCGAAAGTACCGGTAAATTCCGGGCGCGGTAAAAGGTTCGATAGTCATAAACATATTTTAATCATCTCGCAGCTCTACGAAAGAAATATGAGCCAAATCATGTTTCTTTAAAAATAAATGAATTTTTTTATGAAACCCTTTCACGTAGCACTCCTGCCTCCGCAAGCCAGGAGTAACAAACGCTATCAGTTTCCGTTGGAAATTAATAAACGTCGAGTTAACGCTAATGAATTAGCTCTCTCTTAACTAATTCCCAAGTCCAATTACAGGCTGATACACCTCGGAGTCAATTCAATAATTGCATTCAATGCAAACTTCCGTAGAGTTTCGAAATAACCGATTAAAGAACGTTCCCTTAATCATTGATTAACAAACAGCTACAAGAGATTAGTCGATTCGATAAGCCAGTCTCTAAACATGAAATCCCCAGGATTGAGAGAAAAAAAGATCCTCTCCTCATTACACCCCGTCCCTTTTTTTAATTAATTTAAATTACCAAGTAAACTGCCTTAACTTCTGATAGTTACTTTCTCAACTAATCCCGCCGTGTTATTCCTTCAACAATAGTGCCAGGTACGACCGTAAAATCTTCCGTCCGATTCTTGGGCTGAACGAAGCCAGTATATTCTACTTGAAGTGCCCAACGTGGAAATTAATGAAAGTAAAATACGATTAACGTCAAGGTCTGCAAGGGCTTCCGAGGAGAAGGCAGAGCCGCGTTGTCCAACTTATTTGCCCCCAGAAAAGACAGTTCAATTAGGGGGGATTTTTGCGCAAACTCTCATTAAAAACAGCCCCTCGCACTTACACCCTGCAACTAGAAATATGGCGCTCAGTAAAACTCCCCGAGATTTTCTGTAAATTTGTTCACGCGTGCTCGGCTACCCTCGGTTGTGCTCCACTTTCATCGGATCACGTTTTTCACCGGCCATCCTATGCACCCCTCTCACCCCTTTCGCCCCTTGCAACGATTACATCATTTGCACCCCCTGCACTCATTGCACCCCTTGCACCCAATTGCACCACCCTTCATTCCACACCTCACATAGTACAGATTCCTGCAGGCACTGCGTCCTCGCAAACTTTTTACCCTGGAAACTTTCCCCCGTCCTTCGGTTTGTAATTACCTCCCCCAAACACCCTGTAAACATCCGAAATTGTTTTGCCAGCGGAAACTTTTCTCCCCTCCTTCATTTCACCCCTTTACACCCACGGGAGCATCTCCGGAGGTCGCATGAAAAAGTGTGATAATGCGTTCTCGGTGCTACGAGAAAATTGCACATAAGTCCCCCTCCTCGTTGTCGCGAAGAAAATATACCATTATCGCACTCAGACAATTGCAATATAATTTATATAATACGCAATTAACATTAGACGTTAATTGTACAGTGGGGAATATTTCGGGGATTTTCTTTTCATGGGTTGTTTTCCTCATGCGAGATGCTACAAGGTTTAGTTTGTCCTTATAATTGTTTTTCATTCCCTACAGGATCCATTATAATTTTGTTTTAAACTATTTTCTGCCGAGTTTGAAACGAATGGAGGAATTAATTCAGTATGTTCAAGGATATTGCAGATGCGGATCGATGGACAGCGGCTTTAAGGAAGCCCGGCCGTTTCAATCCCCGAAACAGAAATAGCTCTCGGATAATCGACGTCGCTTTGATCGACATTGCGATAATTGACATTCCGCCCTCCCGGAATATCCGAAAGTACTTTCATACGTTGAATTAAAATTCGACGCTTCAATCCGCGCATTCCGTATAATTTTCTTACGGCATAATGCGCAGTGCACTACTTAATGCGCGGGGGAATGTCGCGGGGATTAATGAATTTATGCATGAGAATATTTCCAAGGTAACGACGAGTCCTGGTGAAGGACTCCTTGTCCGAATTCGCGAGTCAGAAAAACCGTCGAATATCTTGGCCGATATTTATGGTCCTGCAGGGCGCGGAATTTACGGAATCCGCTCCGGAATTCCGGGGGAATTCTCGAGGAGGCTCGGCTTTCGAAACTTCCTCCTGCGTTTTCCCACAAACGCGGCTTTTTAGGAAAAACGTTCCCGACCGCGCCACAATTCACATTCCATGAATGAAAATTTTTCGAACCTAAGCAATCTAATACCAAGGTCACTTTCCCAGATTCAATTCTCCTCAATTTTCCTTAAAAGTCCATTACGCAAACACAGAAAAAGAAAACGCGACACGTAAAAATCAAAATCGTGCATATGTTATAACCATACATGTACATACACCACGTGGCGCAATGAAAGGAGACTATGATCATATCCTAGAATTTTAAGTATTTCCTAAACCAAAATAGAATCACCACCCCTTTACGTTATCTTAAACTCAAACGACATATGAGCCATGCCGATTAACTCCATAAAAAAAAAGTAAAGAAAATTAATAGATATAACTAAAATAACTAAATAAAATAAAATTAAAAGGTATTCTAATATGGAGTGGATTTTCTAAAATCACTTTAATCGTATATCAATCACTGATTTGCCAGAGTTTTATTTTTTAAGCATTACAGTTCTTGGCTAGCGTTATATTTTCGTTTAAGTGAGATGTCGATATCAAGCGTGACATTTTTTTCATTTTGAAATGCGGAAGTAGTTACAGTTTCGGTACTCTTCGTGAGTTCTTCGTGTGCAAAGTGGGTCTAGTTGATGGTTCCACGGATCGAAGTAATTCGCAGCTGCAGAAAGTATTTCAAGTCAAACGGTGACGTACGAATGCGAAGGAACGATAAATCTTAGAAAAAGATAAAATCGTCCTGGCGGTCTCGTTTGTCGGCGGACACCGTGCATAAATAATGTCACGTGGCAAGTTGCAAATCGAGCCGCGGTCCTCGACAGCTACTCGATAAGGATAATCTACGTTTCCCCGGAATATTCACCTGGGAACTGCGCGTCCTGCTGACCGGAACGAGCCGAACATCGAGTCAAGGATCGATAACCGCAAATCGTTACTCCGTTAATACGCGTGACAAATCCCAAATCAAGCGATCTTTCGCCTTGTCGGACACGTGGCGGTTCTCGTCATTCCTGTGTTTCACCACGACCAAGCCAATTAGCCATTCGCTAATCGACCGATATTTTTCTAGCCCACCTTCGAGTACGCGCAAACTCGAAATAATTGTTTTTAAACTCGGGACTCCGAGTATAATAATTGCAACCCCTGAAAATCAAAGTTGTGCATATTCGATTTTCACCACGGTTGGGCCAATTAGCCATTCGCGAATGGACTGTAATTCTTTTATCCGATTTTCGAATAGGCTCAAACTCGAAATAGTTATTTTTAAACTTGGAACCCCGAGTTTAAAAGAAAATTGATAATGCACCCTGCACACAAAAAAAATGCGCAAATATTTCCATGATCAAACCTGACAGTGAAAGAGACAAATTTTCACTTACAAACTACAAACATCAATGATATATTTCTAAATTGGAAAAAGTAAAGTCTCCATTCTTTCTCTCTTTCTCTCTGTATTAACTTATAAAAAGGGAACTTCCTGTATCCCTCCTTACTTTCCTGCTTCAGGAGGACGTTATCAGACCAAGACGTCAGAACTCACGAGACAGTTATTAGAAATGACAGATATCAGAAATCATGAAACAGGAAAAGATACTCATTTCTCAATCCTGCTA